GGAATTTAAAAAGCAACTTTCATATCACGTAAAAAATCATCTATTGACCTTTGTTGATCTTTAATTAGCTCAAGTTAAGGGGATATATGCCATGTGCCACAACTATATGAAGGAATTGATGTAAACAGGTTGAGTATATGTAGGGTGAGCTGGATGAGACCAGTGTATCAGACTTTAGAGTGTTTGATATTTTTAATATTTGCATAGGACACTGGTTGAATTCCAAATTCTGAAATGAGTTTTAGAAACCCCAAATCTAAAATGGTCAAAGTCCCCACTCACAAAATAATTGGACACTCAGTTTTGAATTTCAAGACAAGTTTTTTTTTTTTTTAATTACAGATGGCATATAGATAGTTCATAAAGAGATGCTGGTACACTCTCACAGGAAATTGTTTCACTGGAGGGACTGATGAATCAAGTATGAGACACAGGAGGAAATGACTTGATTATTGCAATCCCCCTGTCAAATCCAGTTTTTCCCATGATAGCTGTTTGTATGCTACTGATAATAATTTATTGGTGAGTCTTATTTACATCACTGTCATCAGCCAGATTACCTGAGTCCTGATTGTTATGACCTTCACTTCCAACAGCAACAGATTTCCATAAACACCATCTCCAATGTCCCACATTATTTAATCTCACTTACTATGGGTAATATACAAATTTATCTTAAGTACCAAACAAATATAATACTTGCCTATCTACCAAATAGAAGAAAGATATTTAAAAATCACAGTTATCAGAGGTGGGTCTCATGACCCCACATTCTTTTCTACAGACAACCAGAGTCTGAAACCCAACTTCTCTGGGTGCTTTTTCATTGGTAAAAAATTAAAATTAGTGAACCAGAACTGCCAACTAGACAGTCAGGAGAATAGAGCTAGCAGAAGTAGCAGATCCTGGTTCTGTCTTGGTCTTTGCTTGACTTGATGACAGCAACTCCCAGAAAAATGCCATCCAAAAGTAATATACCCTACAAGGGTTCCATGGTTCAAATGGCAACCTTTGAAGTTGCAATCCAACATTCTAGCTATATACTAATTTGGATCAGCTCATGTTTGCTATAGACAAGTTTCAGAAGCATCAATTTTGTTACTTTTAGAAATAGTCATACTAAGTAAATAAATTACAACAAAATTCAAATTTCATGTCATATAATATTTTCTTTTCCATTTCCCCTCTCTCCTTATTTTTACTTTGAAAGTAAGTCATTGGTATTACTGTACCATTTATATATTAAGAGTAGAACATCATCAAGTTTCATGTTCCCTCTTGGAATCTTATTGGAAATAAGGATGAAAGCTGTAGATCATGTGCCTCTTACCCTTGGCTGAGTGGCACAGCTCATTTGAGATGAATACATAACCCCACCCAAGAATAGAATCATGCCAAGTTTTCATCATATGAAAGAAGAGATATCAATATAATAGAGCTCAGCTGCAGAACAACCTTATTCCCTGTTTCTCGTTTGTATATCCTGGAAAAGATCTGACAATTCCATGGTCTACTTTATGCTAATGTGAAGCCATGTAAAAAACACTCCTGATTATGAAAAATTCACCCCTAAAATTTATTAGAAATATATGTTGAGAAATATTTCTTGTTGGAAATGACAGAAGGCTAGGGATGTGGGTAGGTGGTAAAGATCTTGTCTTGCTCTCAGAAGGTCATTCCCAACACAGAAGTCAGAAGAAATATAAATAATTATAAAGTAGTGAAATTAAACCTTTCATGTCGCATATATTTTAGTCTTTATAAACTCATAGCCAAAGACAAATTCAGTCTATTTTGTTGTTAAAAATATACCATTTATTTCAAAGTAAATTTTTTATTCCCTTACAACTCAACATTTTTCCTTGGGGTAAAGGTAGTTTCATGTTTGATGGTGAATGTGTATGCAAACAAGGACAAAGAACTGAAGGACAGGGTGTTTGCTAAGCCTTTGTCAGGCTCCTGTAATGAAGAAAACTGGCCTAGTGTAGAGGCAGTGCTAAATAAGATAAATAAATAAATAAATAAACCATTGATGTTTTTAAACTATAAAATAAAAATATAAATGGGATGAGAAAATGAAGAAACAGGAATGGAAATAAGGATGAAACAAAAGGTTGGAAGAAGAGAGGAAGTGAACAAACAAAATAAAGATAAAATTTTGTAAAATAATTTTTATCTTTTGCTATAATCACTTTCTGTGTATTTGTAGTCTTTGTTTGTGTCTTAAAGTTGATTTCTACTGAAAGCAGTCTGCTCTCCCAGTCACTTCCCCAGTATGAGGAGAGAAATACTAAGCATAGACCCCAGTCCATGCTCCTACTTCTCTGTATGATATAACCCTGTTCTCCAGTCTGACTCCACAAAGTCCTGGGGACCACCATTGTACCTCACCACCCTGTGTCTTTTACTTCTCAGCCACCTCCCATGCAGAATATACTTTATTACGGCACACTTGTTAAATAAACCGATGTCCTTGGGCTTCATCAGGTTATAGTACATGTGAGGGATTCCCTTTTTCTCTGTCCACTTGTCATTGCTCATTTAGGTGATTTCCATCTCTTGGTATTGTGAAGCTCTCTCTATCATTTTAAATTTAGTTGGAAACTGTCAAGTTTTTCCATCTATAGCCATCCACAATGTTGCCTTGATATTATTATTATTATTATTATTATTATTATTTAGCAAAGATGGAGAAAATATGCACGTGAGCTTAATGTTCACTGTATGGAATTTTCTTATCCAGTGCAATCATGTGGCTGTCATTGAGAGTGTGCTAGATAAAGTAGCACAGAAATGACGCACTGATGGAATGCTGTTTTGTTGCAGGATGAAGCTATTTCTGCCGACAAACAGTGCAAGCCTGAGGCAGCCCAGGCCACCTACTCAACGTCTACTGTTCCAGGCTCACAGGAGGTATTGTACATCAATGGCAATGGTACCTACAGTTACCATAGTTACCGAGGGCTAGGAGGAGGACTGCTAAACCTGAATGACACTTCTAGTAGTGGTGAGTCTTTATAACAGATTGTATTTTGTGTGTTCATTTGGGGATGATATATTTTCTAAACCTGAAAGAAGAAAATGGTTATAATGTTACCAGCGCTAGCCAGTGACAGTCTGGTGAAACCAAGGTTATTTGAAAACACAATGTATGTCTCTCTGCCTGGATGTCTCCCTATATTGTCACAGCTTCTATACGTAGCAGTAACATTATATAATTGAATGATTGCTATTTTATCTTAGACAACAATTTCAAGTAGATGAAGAGCAATTTTTCCCAAGTAGTGATTCATTCTACCTCTGATGTTATAAGGTACAGTTTGTCAACAACGATGCAGTAGCTCAGAGATTTGTGAATTGGAGAATTTGAGGCATTGGGAACTTGATCGAATGTACATGATTTTACTAAAATCATATAGAATGGAACAACAAATCGAAGCCACCATGCCTCCTCAACTAGTAGGTTAAGATCAATAATGCTCTGTCATCAGTGGACGATGTCTAGCAGCTTGTATTTGCTCATGTTTTTGGAATTTCTTGCATTTGAATGTCACAACATCTCTATAAAGAATTGGAGATTCAAATCCTTGATATAGAATCAAGTAGTTCTTGATTAATTGACTACTCTCTAGTGGTGGCCTCCTAGCTGGTGCAGGGGTGTTGCTGGAGTCCTCTTGAAGGCCAGGTCTAGAAATGGTGGGCTGAGTTTGGTCAAGTCCTGCCCAACCCAGCCACATGATGTGGGGCGGAGGTGTTGCTCCAAACTGGAAAGCTATTAGTTATTGATACTACAAAAGGCAAATATGCCAATAATATATCTTTTAAAATTGAAAAGCTAATGTATTTGGCTTCATATTACCCATCTATTTTAAACAGGGAGGTGGAGTGGGGTAAAACAGTTTGTGGAGTGATAGTTAACATTCACAAAACCCCAGGTTCAATTCTCAGTCTTTCCACTTCCATCACAATGGGGGGTGGTAGGAACACCATGCTTGGAGCTGAGTCCTCAACTGGGCCTTTTTCTTTATGTCATTGCAACCATGGGTCTCTTCATTCTTCATTGTTCACTGCAAAGACGTATTTCTCTGATCAAGGCTGGTAGAAATCTTTTTCTGTGGGTACAAATGCTTTGCACTGAGGTGTGATCCCAATGGCTTGACACCTCTGTTATCATTTAAAACATTGTTCTTGATCTCTATTAATGCTCCTCGTTTTAAGGTTGACTATAACAAATTTTAGTTATTTCTATACTGTCTGCAAAAGAAAATGCTAACTTGGATTCCCTTGGTAGTGGAAGTGAAAATAAATAGAAGTGAACAGAACTTCAGTACATAATGACATGTGAAACTAAAATGAACCAAGGTTGTTTTATTCCTACACAACCTCTATTCATACACAACCAGAATCATTTATCTAAATTGTTCTATGGAACAATACAACAAGAAAATATGAGGCCTCTTGTTTTTAATTAAGAGCCTCGAAACATGGATGACCGAGAGGCAGCCGACTGTGCTTCCAGACTTCACAAGTTCTGTCCTTTATTATGATATTTGTCTGACTAAAGAGGCTGTCATTAGAAATACAGAGAGCTCCTAGTGGGAGAAATGTAATGTGTACAAAGACAGAAAAGGAAGAAAACTCATAGGATTTCAAAGGGGTGTTGCTGTAACTGTTGCTGTTTTGCGAAGAGACCAACCAGATGTTTACCATAGAATTCTAACAGAAAAGCTTTTCTTACACATCAACTGATTCTCAAAAGAGAAAGCAAAGTCATCTTTCAAATCAAAACAAAGAAAAATAAGAGTCAAGTCTGGCCAGATTGTGTAACCAATGAATTTTCTTTTGTGTTCTTTTAACTGCTGTTAGAAAAAAATTAGCATCATCTTACTCTCCTGCTGTAAATCAAGCCTCCTGAATTTCTGTCACCTGATTTTTCCTCTCTAAGTCAATACTTATTAGAAAACTCCTTTAGAAAACTCCTGGATTTTCCCTGTGAAGTATATAGCACAGTGAATATGCACACACAACCTACTATGATTTGAAACACTTTGAAAATGAGATGTGGCTTTGGATCAAGCATAACAGCAATTAAACAGCTAAAAAAATACTAAAAAATAATCTTGGCAAACATCCTGCTTACACTGACATTAAAGAGAATTGCTCCAGTGACTTTGCCACCCATTGATGGTGGTGGCCAAGGGAATGATTAACTCTGTCTTATAAAGGGCCTCAGAATAGCTTTTCATTCTCTAAGAAAATTTAGAATTCTTTTAACACTGGTATTGTATACTCCTGTCTTTGTTTTGTTCCGTTTTGTTTCAAGTACAGAAAGACTGATAAGTTGATTGGGTATACTATTTCACTTCTCCTGGGACTCTCTCCATAAAGTCCATAAATATAAGCTATTCTGACTTACAAAAGACCCCAGCTTCAGTACCCAGCACCGACATCAGGCAGCTCACAACCACCTGTCATTTTCAGCTCCAGGAGACCCAGTGCACTCTTCCAGAGTCTGGGGAAATACTCCCTGCAACAGAAATAATGAAATAATATATGTTTTTAAGACAGTGTCTTTGTCTTGTTTAAATGTCAAAACACTTTGAGTCCTACTTTATTCTACTGCTTAGTTCATTGGATGCTTTTGTTTCATTTCCCCCTAAATAGGTGTGTACTCTGAAAAAGCAGTCTATCTTTTCCATGATTACATTCCTTTGAGTAAAGTCAGTTACATATTAATTACCTAATCATTGGCTTAATTTGAATTAATATTATTAAATGGATGCTGATTTCCAAATTAAAGAGGTAGATAGACCATCAGTTATGTATTTTGGATACTAGCAGTGAGTGATTTATATGATAGAAAAGCAAAGAATGCTGGAGATGCAAGTCTGTGGTTGTTCATGCACTTACCATACCTGATTCCCTGGGTTTTATTCAGCACAAAAACAGCAAAAAGCAAAAGAATGAGTAAGAAAGCAAAACAGAAGGGAGGAAGATTCCAGCTGATTCTTCAATGTGCAGGTCTACAGTGATTTTAGTAGAGTTTTATAAGCTCCTGTTTTGTTTTGAATATAATAGTAATTGGGAAATCGGGCTTACACTGGAGACTTCATTACAAGAAAAGAGTCTGTCTCTGGCCATTGCCAGAGTGCCCTTCAAATCTTTTGCTAGCCAGCCCACCATTTGTTTAGAGCTGGCAACAGCCTGCACCCAACAATCCAAAATTTCAAATTGGAGTATTATCAAAATGACAGCAGTTACAATTTGTATAAAGAATGTATTCAAATTAACTAAATGAAAGGAGCAAGAAGCAGCCAGCCATCCTGTCATTATCCTTTCCATTGACATGGGACATTCTGTCAGGAAGCTCACATCATACCATCTACAGAAGGCTATTGTGGCTCACTGCAGTTTCCATTGGACCCCATAAGTCTAAATTATATGCAAAAGCCATCATTTATTTTTGACTGTTTCCTCTCCACACACTCTGTGGGGAGCAGACTTTTCAAACTGTTCTTCAACTCTGATATAAAGTAAGCTGATATACAGACCAAAATCTAACAAGGCCAAGTTGTGGTAATAATGAGTCTTAATAATTAACATTTGTATGGTTATTTTTAGTCTGCCTAATCTCTACATCAATTAACTTCCTTGATTTTTCATGACATGAATATATATGGGATTTCTACTTTAAACGTGCATTTGATCAAAGTCTGTCACTGAGTCTCAGACAGGTACACTTGGTCATAGGCCTACCTAGAGGTTATTGCAGTAGTCACGCGGGACTTTCTTATGCATTCCCTTTCTTATGCATACCTTTCAAGTCTAGCACCTTAACCCTTCAGCCATTACAGGGTTCTTATGGGAAATACTCAAAGGAGCCCTTCCATTCATCTACCCCTTTCACACCTCGCTTACAGTTTTCCTTCACTCCACTAAAGCAAGCTCTCCTCTACCATGTTATAGCAGTTGATAGGTTAAGTTGTCACTAACTGCACCAATTGTCAGATGTAAGATGATTTTACTCTTTATTTTTCTGAATTGCATGGGCATATTTGAATACCTTGATGATTAGAGTTTTGAAACGCCCATGGTCTTGACACCTAGGACAGAACATTCTCACCAATTTGTGTCCTCAGCATTCTCAGCTTCCTGCCTCACAAGCATTTGCTTTACTTTCCGCTCACTTCATGAATGCTTCAATTTCCCTTCCCTCCTCCTCCCTTTGTCCCTGTAAGTATCTTGTTCTGCACACTGCTGAAGGCAAAGATCATGAGCTGTTACCTTTTTTTTTTTTTCTGCAAACATCTGTATCCTCATCCTTCCCTCTGAGCTTCAGATTTTATACCTAAGTTTTAGCCAGACAGTTATGGTCTAGCCATCCCAAGAGACCTTAAGTTAAGAATGCAAAAATGATTTCTTCCTCTTCACATGTTCCATAAGGGGAACCATCTGAGGACCCAGAATTCAAATGCCCAAAAATATGGGGACATCTCATTTAAACAACCATAGGTTCTATCTACCTTTTATTTGAGTTAGATTTCTCACACTGGCTTACAACTTAACAAATAGCAAGTAGGCTATTTGTGGCCAGTAAACCCCAAGGATTTAACTATACATGCTATTTAAGGGGCGAAGTTACATAGGCACTCTATCACACCTGGTGTTTTCCAGCTGAGTTTTGGGGCACTAACTCAGAGCCTAATGCTATAAGGCAAGCATTTTACTGTGAAGATATCTTCTTAATGTCTGGCTTCCTTTTCGTAATACCCTGAAGAGCACAATATGATGGAGGAGAAACATTTCATTTTGAATATTTCACAGAAAAATTTTGGAATGCATCAATTCTGCCTTAAAATATGCTTGGCTGTTAAACCTATGATTCAGGAAAAATGATTACTGTATCCATCCATGGACCTAGGAGGTCCTGACTAAGAAATCTTGATGGTTTGCCAGTCACATGTAACAAAGTAATGCTGGTGCATGGTGAGGGGCCTTCACAACTTG